CTAATTACGTGAACTAGGGCAGTCAACTGTGTCTTCAATTTCTGTAATGAGAATATTAAATGGGCTGATCATCAAGTTCTAGTCAAACCTTAACTTATTATATTTTTATAATGTTCAAGCATGAAATTGTTAAACCTGCAGTCATTTTTATCTTGGTAAAAAGTTTTGTTCTACATGATCATATGTTTTGCATTGTTCCATTAGATTGTTTCCTTCTGTTACCCATTGTCAAAGATATTCCTGAATGACATAGTATAAACTTGTTTCTAAACATGGGGGAATAGAGTGGGAAAACGGTTTCATGGGTCCTGATTAGACTAATCACACGGGGGTGGGGGGCAGGGCTTCGAAGAAGGCAACTCAATTTGCTGTGTTTTAGGCATTTAGTCTGCAATGTCTTATTTGATCATCACAAAACAATGAGGGGTAGGAGTTTATCCCTCCTATATAATAGATAGAAATTCATTAGACAGCCTGTCACAGATTCCCCACCATAGGTAAGTCATGGGGCAATGGTTTGAGTCCAGCTGACAAAGTCTTAGATTACTGAAAGCTGACCTGCAGTTGCTGACCTGTAGTTGCATCGGATCAAACCTGCAGGCTGCTAACTGAAATGTCACCAGTTTAACACCCCTAGTGACTCCATACAAAGAAAGATAATGCTGTCTGCTCCCTTAAAGATTTGTGCTTGGAAAACTCTAGAGAACAGTTCTACTCTCTATTACAAGGTTGATCAGCTGGAAGCAACTCCAACCCTAGTAAATGGTATCAGTGTGAGTTGTCCCCAGTATTCCACACACAGCTTCTTTTTGACTCCTGTCTTCAGCCTCCCAGAGCATATGGTAATTGGTAGTCTCAAAAGTATATTATTCTGAAGTAAAAGTAAACTGAACTTTGAAGTTTCAATATATTGAAACTCTCTGGTCAATCCCATATTTATTTCTTCCTTCATTTAAGAAATATATATATCTAGTTCATCCTGTGTGACAGATATTGTATTAAGATCTGGGGATATGAGAATGAACAAATCAGGCAAGATTCCTGTCTTATATTTCAGTGAAGAAGACACACTGAAAAAGTACATTATTAGATAAGATAAATTTAGGTAAAGCTAACATTATAAATAAAAATTTAAATGAGCTGAAACTTGAATGGTGGGAATCCAGCAATGGAGATAAATCAGGGAAAAGGGCAAATACAAAAGGTCATGCAACAGCTTATTAATATATGTATTTATTTTCTTGAAAATGTGCACAGCACAGTATGGACCACTTTAATCATTTCTGCATAGTATTTTAGTGCCACTGAGTACTATTTAAGGTGTGTAGCTTTTCTCACCCTTCTTTTCTGAATTGTTCCTTCCCTATTAACATAAAACCAAAATTCCCTAAGGTTCCTATCATCTAAACTTCCCTGTTGCTTTTGCCCTTTTGATACTATATGGCCTTTAAAAAAAAAGCATAATGCTCAAGGCAGACAGTATTTACTAGTTAAGGTAAACTAGTATTTGGTTTAAATAAGACTTCAGGAGATATGTTTTAATTTAAATTTTAAAGATTATCTGAGGGTAATTTCAGGGATTTGTCAAGTCCCCATAGTTTGAACGTTGGTAGTAATTTAGAATTTGGCATTTTCTTTACTATATTCCTTCTTATGATCAGGATTCTTCTAAGAAATCTTTAATCAGAATGTTAAATGGTAACGAGGCACTATCTTGTACTCCTGGTCTCTTGTACATGCCATACAATCTCTAGCCCTCTCCTTTTTCTGACTCTCCTTCCTTTGTTATGCTAGATTAATAGAGACTAATTGTTGTGCCTTGAATGTTTACTTACAAGCTTTTAAGACCCAGGCATCACACAGCGAACTAGTGGGTAGAACAGAGGCATTAAAATGTTATTAGGCAGTTTAACTGGATATCCCATGAAACTATGACCCTAAACTTATAAATCAGGAAACGAAATCACTTGAGGATTTTGGCTGTAGTAAATAAATTTTAAAAACCCACAACTTTTGCAAGTTCAACTTTTTTCCGGGTACAACTAATTGATAGTAATTACAACAATTTATAGTACAACCCTACCCTTAGCCTATGTGATTTCTGTGTCACTGTTAATTCTAACGTTCCCCTTTCCCATTCCCTCCTGCCCCAATAGCTAATAAACTAATAACCTTTGTTCTCTAAACATATATGTTTTGTCTTTTTTCTATAGGTGAGGTCATACAATATTTATCCTTTTGTGATTGACTTATTTCACAAACCATACATACACCTCCCAGCCCTATCTATATTGTAGTATGTATGGCGATTTCATCTTTCCTACTGGCCAATAATCATTGTTTTTCATTATAAAAAGGACCTTAAAAGAGTTTGTGGGAAAATGGTATTGATAGAGAATGGAATTTCCCCCTAAACCTTTTAAAGCTCCCTCATATAAAAGCATTCTATTTCCCCATTGTGGTATTGATGGGCATTTAAGCTGCTTCTTCCTTTTGTCTATTGTGAATAATGCTGCAGAGAACATTGGTATGTAAATTTCAGAGTCATTCCCTGCTTTTAAGTGAGAATTTCTGTACTGTATGTTAATTTTATTATTACTTTATGAGTAATCAGCACACTGTTTTCCACACTAGCTGTATCATTTTGTATTCCTACCAACAATGGACAAATCTTCCAATATCCCTCCTTATATCCTGCTATCATTTATTGCTTGTTTTTATATGTAAGCCACCTTAGAGGGAATGAAATTGTAGTGGTGAGTTTTTAGGATATTCCTTACTTGTGGAAAATAGATCCATTCTCTACTGAAACACTTTATATTAATATACAAAATGACCTGACTTAGCAAAAATCAAAGTATAATTAAAATTGTCAAATGTATGCTACAAAGACTTCCTTTCTATTGTTTCTTGAGGAACTATAATCTTGGGAGATGGATCTTATGTTTATGCTTTAGTTTTGTTGTGTTTGTATGCTGTTGAGTCCGTTTTAACTCATCCTAACACTGTGGAATAGAGTGGAACTGGCCTCCGTAAAGGCTGCAGTCTATTTTGAAACCGACTGTGAGGTCTTTTCTCCAGTGAAGCTGCTGGTGAATTCAAACTTACTTCTGGGTAGAAGCCGAGTCCTTAACCATTGGACCACCAGGCCTCCTTAAAAAAGCTAGATCAACGTGAAAATGATTCTCTGCTGATGTTTTTTCTTACTGTGACATCTATGTGGTGATTCCTGAACATTTGCTATTTCTCCTGAGTAAGAAAACACACACATTCCAGGCAATAAAAGTATGAACTTGTATTCCTTGTTCTGTAATTGTTTTGCACAAAATCCACAAGCACACACTGTTTTAACGAGGACGCAGTATTTCAGACATTGTGTTAGGCACTAAGCATACATGAAATTCACATCTAGAAGAGATTTTCTACCATAGTATTTAAGTGTTACATTAGTGAACATTGCTACTGTTCCGCAGGGAAATAGAGATTCCTACCTGTTATAAGAAATTATCCAGCTTTAGTTATTTGCCATTTAATGTTTTTTTAACATTGAAGATTAATAATGACTGACAATTTCTATTTTGAAAATTCTTCCCAATAAAATGCCAAATAATATGAACCCCTGGAGAATACACTTCACATTATCAGCACAATGATTTTTGTTTGTTTGTTTTTGCAATTTAACGACATGTAAACATGTGACAAAAGCTTTAAAAAGTAAATTAAAAAGAGCTATATACTATCTTACTTAACAGAAAGTGAATGCAATTTGTATAAATTTAGAAAACAGACTCAGGATACAGTCTGTGAGATATATTTATACCCAAGTTAAGGGACGGTTATAATACTTTTTGTCTAGAACCCAAAACTATGAGTTATTTGTATAGTGAATTTGTTGATGCTTTATTCTTGCATGTCCCACAAATTATTTACATAGTTTTATCAAGGAGACAAGATACGGAGCTAGGATGAGATAATGAGTTCTAAAAATAATTACAGGTGTATAGGAAATTAGGAGCCCTGGCTGTAGGGCTACAAATCCCGCCAGGGGGTTTTGCTATGAGTCTGCATTGACTCGATGGCAGTGAGATAATATTAGAAATCAAACTAAAACCAAATTATTCTCAGATAGATTAAAAGATCAGAAGCCCTATAGGCAGTTCTATTCTATCTTATAGGGTTGCTATGAGTTGGAATTGACTCAGCATCGCACAACAGAAAACTGGTGGTGCAGTGGTGCAATGTGAGACAGCTACCCCAAAGTTCTGCAGTTTGCACCTACCAGCTGTTCCAAGGAAGAAAGATGTAGGAGTTGGTGTCCTCAAAGATAAACAGCCTTGTAAAACATGTGAGACTGTTTGGCCGTGTCTTCTAGCGTCCCTATGAGTTGGGGCAGACTTGTTGGCGCTAGATGCATTAGCAGATGACTGCATTTAATGGCCTTTAATAGTTAATCCATAGCAATGGAGTAATGTAGTTAGGAACTAGGGCATACTTTGGACTGATTTGATTAACTGACATGCTAATTGGACACATTGTGTTTTATTTTAGCAAATCTTTTAACTTGTTTTTTCTTGAATTGGCTGGTACTCTGAGAAATTTCAGCAGCTTTGAGTTATGTTGTCTTTTGTAGAATACAAATATCTTAATGAGAAACATTAATAAGATGATTCTTAAAAGATCCTCCTGTGAGTTATGGAGGATCCGTTGATGATAATCCTGATGCCAAGGATGTTTAAGCCCCTCTGTTATCGACATTTTATGCAGTTCGAGTCCATGGTGTATGCATTTCAAGTCATAAGCACCAGCAGTATATTTTTTATTTTTATTGAGGGTGAGGAGAGTGTTCCAATATGCAAAATTTAAGAGATTCCATTTGTTAGTCAATCATTATAAGTGCATTTTGTATGTTTTCTGATATAGTAAATATATATCAGATACATTCTTTTATTTTTAAAGCTTTTTAAAAACCTGTTTTATTTAATAGTATTATTCTTTTATAGGGCGGACTGAAAAACAGCAAACATGAGTGTACCCTGTCTTCCCAAGAATATGTTCATGAATTAAGGTCTGGTATTACAGATGAGAAACTTCTGAATTGTCTAGAATCCTTGAGGGTTTCTTTAACCAGCAATCCTGTCAGGTAAGAACTTACTAGCTTTTTGTTATGATTAATACAATGATATCATATGTAATTACTTGGAAATAAAATCAGCAGCTTGTAAATCTCAAAATTTTAAAAAAGGAATGGACTTATTCGTAGTGATTTTTAAAAATTCATATTATCTAATATATCTGGTGTGAGGACTGTAAGCATATTTTCTGGCTCTATTTGAAACTCAGAAGGTGATCCTGATGGACAGATGGACTGAACTTTTGGAGACATTACCACCAAGGAGGTGAAAACATTCCAGAATAGATAAATTTGGTATAGAAAAAATACTGGAAGAGTTGAAAATTAACTATCACTGATGTGGACACTTCTTTTTTGTAATATAGAAAATAGATGCAGTCAGGGAGCCAGCAAGGAAACAAACAAACAAAAAAGTGACCTGGCCTGGCGTTGTCATGGTTTTTATGTTAGAGTTATTTTACACATTTGGTGTTAGTCCATTATTATCATTGTGATTTTTTGCTAATGTACTAATCGAATATTTTAAAGATAGGATTTGCTTGATTCAAATGTATTAAAGGCAATAATTAATTAATTTAAATGGGCAAGTGTTTAGTTTTTTATTTCCGTGGTGCTTTTTTCTTTAATATTAAATTATAAAAACAAAATGGAAATTCACTATGAAAAAGCTGAGGTTGATTCATAGAAAACTTGTAGGACTGATTAGAACTACCCCTGTGAGTTTCCAGGGCTGTAAATTTTATCGGGGTGGCTTCGATCTGCTGGTCCTGGGGTTAGCAGCTCAAAAAGTAAGCCCACTTCACCAAGGTTCCTTATGTAAAATTGCAATAATGCTTAAATAAATACTACATATTTTTGTTGAAGCATCTTCAAAATATGTTTTTGCTAAAGTGAGAACACATTCACTGATTATTTCAGGTACAATTCCATCAGACTTGGATGAAATTATTGTTGCTGTATGGTACCTAGATGCTAGGTTTTTTGAAGTTTTGTTTTTGTGTAGTCTACAGTGCTAAATACTTTTGGGTTTTTCTGCAGAAGTTAGTTATTAGGCAAGCGAAAGCAAATAGTCATTTTAAGAATATTAATCCAAGTTTAACCAAAATATATCCATTAAAATCCTTTTACAAATCTTAACTATTTTGTGTGATTTTTTTTCTAAAATCAGTTGGAAAATCTTTTGTAATATCCTTGAGAATTAATAGTTCTTCTTGCCCAGAATAAATTTTTCTTTATATGCTGTAATGACATAATTTACTTTATAGTATATTAACTATATGAAATTTTAAAATGATCATCAAAGTAAGCTCTCATCTCTACATAGTCACTAATAGATGGTGTTTTTCAAGGCTCTAGGTTTCTTACATTAGAGAAAAGAATACAGTATAGGTGTATCATATATGTGAGATACATGTATATATATATATACACACACACATACACACACAGATAATTAAGTAATAAAAACCTCATTGTCTTGATTGCATCTGAAAATGATAGGCAGAAACAGAAAATTACTCAAATACATCATTGTCAAATTAAACTCAGTGTATAGGCTCTTTGTCATTCTTTATAAAAAACAACTTATTGCCAATTCTTGTTTAAAACCTGGGAAACTTAGACTTAACTTGTCTTCCAAAAAATCCCACAAAACCAAGTTTTTGAAAATGCAAATTGAAAGTTTACAATAAACCTATTGCCTCAGTTATCAAGCGTCTTTGAAAATTCTTGTTTTCATAAACATGAAATTTGAGCTACTATTGAACAATTTGCTTTCCTAGGGAAAATTATCTTGCAAGAGAGGTGATGAGGAACTTATTTCTTCCAGAGAATTGAGCTGTGGAAAGAAATGGTCTAGAATGCACATAATGGCACTTAGAAAAATGTAGTAGCCCTTAAATTAAAGCAATTGTGTTTGAATTTTACTCTCTGTCAGTCTTGTAATGACTTGATTTAGTCCAATAAGCAGTTGGATGAGTCTCCATTCCCCCTCCCCCCCACCGCCCTCAACTCTGTGCTCTGCATGATATGCCTCCAGAATTTGAGGCTGGAGATGGAGTTTGTTTGGGAGACTAAACTGCCTTTGTGCCACGGAACTGACACCTTGAGATTTGTACATTCAAATTTATGACTGAAGACCAACCTAAATCCCATCCTCTGAGGAGAAATGGTCATTTCCTCTATATTCCCTGCATGGCTTTAAACTTAAAAAAAAAAGAAAGAAAGAAAAAGAAAAAAAAACCACTTTAATTATGTCTGCCTGCCTCCAAGCTCATTTTATTATACTGAATAGAACCTCCTGCCAATACTGGGCTGCAGTGACAAAATAGTAACTGCCCGTAGGAATAGTTAGTTATATGGTGAGTGGAAGTCAACAAATCTATTAGAAAACAGTTGATGGGTAAATCTTATATTTCATATTTTCTATTGGTTAGTAATTGCTGATTTTAAAAATTTGTATTTAAACACCTTCCTGGAGTTAAATTTTTGTTTAGTCTGAGAATGACATGGGCAATACTCCCCTTTCGCTCCTATCCTGCCTCATCTGCAATTTAAAACTCTGAGGGTAAAATGGAAAGCCTGGAGAAATAATATCCACTGTTTAGCACAGGTACACTGAAGGTTGAGGAACCTGATAATCATAATTGAGGTTTATATTCCACATAATGTTGTTTGTCCATAGCTCAAAGGAAATATATGCATTTTTATTAAAGTTGATGCTAAACAAACATAAAAATGTTTCCATGCTAAAGCTAATACTGTTGTCATAATTATTAGTAGTTATTTGTGTACTTTTTCCTACTAAATTTGGGGTTTATTTTGGCACAATGTGAAAAGTAGCGATTTTAAGTTTCTTTTTCTGATTTCTGTAAACCCCAGAATTTATTTTCATTCATTGAACTATTCATGAATGTTTATTGCTTGGAGTCAAATGTTAATTACCTTCATCCCTTGGAAATATTTTAAATTCAGTTGAATTTGAGATGCTTATTAAAAATGCTAGTTAACCGTTTAAAGAAATGATAGTTAATCCTTTTTATATGCAGCACTTATTGTTTATCAGAAATGCTTTTGAGAGTGTTTGTGGGTTTTTGTTTTCTTGTCATGACTTGTTTAATGTCTTCGGCTCACTTCTCTCTCTTGAAATTCAGACTTCATCTCTAAATGTTTTCCAAGCATCTTTAAAAACATATAATAATAAGCAGAAAGGCATTTGCTGTTTAATATCTCCCATATAAAAAAGAACATTAAACACACACACTGCTAGATATCATTGTTATTATTATTCCTGTTTTATAGATGTGGAACCTTAGTCTCAGAGAGAGTAAATCGTTTTCTTAAATTAAGGCTATGCAGAACTAGTAAGGGATAAAGCTACAGTTCTTGCTTAGGCTGTGTTTTCATGAGCCTGGACCCTTAACCATTACATGTTACTACATTACAATAGGACAATGTATTGTGCTGCTGGTGGTGGTGGTTTTCTTTAATCTTTAACGCTTATCAGCAGCTGTTCTTTCATTAAAATGTATCTGATTTAGAAATAAACCCGAAATTGAAATCTTAGAACAAAAACTATATAATGAAGACATTGTAAATAAATCTCAGGCTAAGAAAAATATGTTGTTGTAATTATGAAAACTTAGCCCTATAAAAAAGTCGACACTATAACATCCTTGGACCTACGTTTTCACTGCTTAAAACAGTTTCTTTTTTACTCTAAAGACATCCATTTGTTTTTTGAAGTCTTACCATTTTAAGAATATAAATCTTTGCATTTTTTCAAATAAAGTAGTACTTCTAGGTATAGTTGGTCTTCTTTGGCCTGTCTATTGGTGATGATAACTCTTAATAATTCAAATGTCAAATATATACTATTTATTCCAATTTTGTATCACATCGTTATGATATATTTTTTTACTTTATGAATCAATTTCCTTTGTTTAATATTAAATTGAAGGAGTTCATTAAGTGCACTTATCATTTTGTGCTCTTAAAAAATTATAATGAAACTATATACAACAAAACACATGAATTGAATTTCTAAATGTGTAATATGGTGACACTGATACTATTCTTAAAGTTTGTCATTTCTCTCCCTATCTCTTCCCAGATGAGTCTATCACCATTGATGTATATCTATTGCACCATTAAAAACAAACAAACAAAAAACACAACCCTCTTTCCTGCTTAGGTTATTTTCTAAAAACATGTGTATGTATTTGTTTAGTATACATGAGATTATATACGGTATTTGTCTTTTTGTGACTATTTGGTTCAGTATCATTGTTTTCAAGTTTCATTTGTTTTCTGTCATGTATAAGGACTTCCTGTCGCTTTACATTTCAGTAGTATTTTCTATGTGTTTATATAGTTATATTGTGTTTATATATTCATCTTTTGGCGGATATTCCATTGGTTTCTACTTTTTAATTTTAAAAATTACTGCAACCAATATTGGTGGTTATGTGTCTTGTTATCACAGATGTTTTAGCTTTAGGTTTAGGAATCAAAGAGTTCCTGGGCTATGTGGTAATTTGAAGTTTAATTTTCTGAAGACCTGCTAAATGGTTTTCTCCAGTGGTTTTTACCCTTCACGTTTCTACCAGCAAAGGCTGAGCATTCCTGTTTCTCCACAACCTTACCTATTTTTCATTTTTATTTATTATTTTTAAATTTATGTAACATTATATATATTTGTTTCATATTTATTATTGTTGTTTTCTGAAATGTGTTTTTTGCTATTATTTTTAATCTTTGCGATTCTAATGGGGTTTGAGAGTGCATCACATTGTGATTTGGATTTGGGGGCATAGTGGGATACACATCAGGCTGTTACCTGAAAGGTTGGAAGTTTGAAACCACCAGTGGTTTGAAAACTCCAGCTGCTTTTTCTAGCTGCTTCGAGGGGGCTGTTTTATTCTACTCTGTTCTATAGGGTAATCATGAGTCCAAATCGGCTTGTTGGCAGTTAGTTTAATTTGAGAGAAAATGGGTAGTGAAAATGAGCC